TCCTTGCTGATCTTAAACACAGAAAAGAAGCTTACAAGAAGTGGAAGATTGGACAAATGACCAGGGAAGAGTATAAAAATGTTGCTTGGGCATGCAGAAGTGAAATCAGGAAGGCCAAATCACACCTGGAGTTGCAGCTAGCAAGAGATGTTAAGAGTAACAAGAAGGGGTTCTTCAGGTATGTTAGCAACAAGAAGAAATTCAAGGAAAGTGTGGGCCCCTTACTGAATGAGGGAGGCAACCTAGTGACAGAGGATGTGGAAAAAGCTAATGTACTCAATGCTTTTTTTGCCTCTGTCTTCACGAACAAGGTCAGCTCCCAGATTACTGCACTGGGCAGCACAGCATGGGGAGGAGGTGACCAGCCCTCTGTGGATAAAGAAGTGGTTTGGGACTATTTAGAAAAGCTGGATGAGCACAAGTCCATGGGGCCGGATGTGCTGCATCCAAGAGTGCTAAAGGAGTTGGCAGATGTGATTGCAGAGCCATTGGCCATTATCTTTGAAAACTCATGGAGATCGGGGAGGTCCCAGATGACTGGAAAAAGGCTAATGTGGTGCCCATCTTTAAAAAAGGGAAGAAGGAGGATCCTGGGAACTACAGGCCAGTCAGCCTCACCTCAGTCCCTGGAAAAATCATGGAGCAGGTCCTCAAGGAATCAATTCTGAAGCACTTAGAGGAGAGGAAAGTGATCAAAAACAGTTAGCATGGATTCACCAAGGGAAAGTCATGCCTGACTAATCTAATTGCCTTCTATGACAAAATAACTGGCTCTGTGGATGAGGGGAAAGCAGTGGACGTGTTGTTCCTTGACTTGAGCAAAGCTTTTGACACGGTCTCCCACAGTATTCTTGCCAGCAAGTTAAAGAAGTATGGGCTGGATGAATGGACTATAAGGTAGATAGAAAGTTGGCTAGATTGTCGGGCTCAATGGGTAGTGATCAATGGTGATCAATCAGTGATCCATGTCTAGTTGGCAGCCGGTATCAAGTGGAGTGCCCCAAGAGTCGGTCCTCAGGCCGGTTTTGTTCAATATCTTCATAAATGATCTGGAGGATGGTGTGGATTGCACCCTCAGCAAGTTTGCCGTAAACTGGAAGGAGAGGATGATACGCTGGAGGGTAGGGATAGGATACAGAGGGCCCTAGACAAATTAGAGGATTGGGCCAAAAGAAATCGGATGAGGTTCAACAAGGACAAGTGCAGAGTCCTGCACTTAGGACGGAAGAATCCCATGCACTGCTACAGACTAGGGACCGAATGGCTCGGCAGCAGTTCGGCAGAAAAGGACCTAGGGGTTACAGTGGACAAGAAGCTGGATATGAGTCAACAGTGTGCCCTTGTTGCCAAGAAGGCCAATGGCATTTTGTGATGTATAAGTAGGAGCATTGCCAGCAGCTCGAGGGACCTGATCGTTCCCCTCTATTCGGCATTGGTGAGGCCTCATCTGGAGTAGTGTGTCCAGTTTTGGGCCCCACACTACAAGAAGGATGTGGAAAAATTGGAAAGAGTCCAGCAGAGGGCAGCAAAAATGATTAGGGGACTGGAACACATGAGTTATGAGGAGAGGCTGAGGGAACTGGGATTGTTTAGTCTGCGGAATAGAAGAATGAGGCGGGATTTGATAGCTGCTTTCAACTACCTGAAAGGGGGTTCCAAAGAGGATGGATCTAGACTGTTCTCAGTGGTAGCTGATGACAGAACAAGGAGTAATGGTCTCAAGTTGCAGTGGGGGAGGCTTAGGTTGGATATTAGGAAAAACTTTTTCACTAAGAGGGTGGTGAAACACTGGAATGCGTTACCTAGAGAGTTGGTGGAATCTCCTTCCTTAGAAGTTTTTAAGGTCAGGCTTGACAAAGTCCTGGCTGGGATGATTTAGTTGGGGATTGGTCCTGCTTTGAGCAGGGGGTTGGACTAGATGACCTCCTGAGGTCCCTTCCAACCCTGATATTCCATGTTTCCATGATTCTATCCACATCTTTCCTGAAGGGTGGCACCCAGAATTGGACACAGTACTCCGGCTGAGGCCTCACTGGTGCCAGACAAGGTGGGACAATTACCTCCTGTGTCTTACATATGACACTCCTGTCAGTATATCCCAGAATGATATTAGCCTTTTTCGCACCTGCATCACATTGTTTACTCATATTCCGTTTGTGATCGAGAACAGTCTCGGTTCCTTTTCAGCAGTACTACTACCTAGCCTGTTATTCCTCATTTTGTAGTTGTGCATGCGATTTTTCCTTCCTATATGTGGTACTGTGCACTTAGAATCATAGAATATCAGGGTTGGAAGGGACCTCAGGAGGTCATCTAGTCCAACCCCCTGCTCAAAGCAGGACCAATCCCCAATTTTTGCCCCAGATCCCTAAATGGCCCCCTCAAGGATTGAGCTCCCAACCCTGGGTTTAGCAGGCCAATGCTCAAACCACTGAGCTATCCCTCCGCCCAGACAATAACTTGTCTTTGTTGAATTTAATCTTGTTAATTTCTGTTGATTTCCATCATTTTGAATTCTAATCTTGTGTTGCCCCCCCGCACACAACCCCCCCGCCAGCTTGGTGTCATCGTTAGATTTTGTAAATATACCTTCCACTCCACTATCCAAGTCATTAATGAAAATATTGAATAGTACTGGATCGAGGACTGACTGCTGTGGGACCCCACTACATATGCCCTCCCAGTTAGACAGTAAACCATTGATAACTAATCAGAGTACAATTTTTCAACTGGTTGTGCACCCACGTTATAGTAATTTCATTTAGACCACAGTTCCCTAGTTTGCTTCTGAGAATGTTATCTGGGACTTTGTCAAAACCCTTACTAAAATCAAAATGTATCCCATCTACTTCTTCCCCCCCATCCACTAGGTCAATAAACTGTCAAAGAAGGAAATAAGGCTGGTCTGGCATGATTTGTTCTTGACAAACCCATGCTGGCTATTCCTTAGAACCCTATTGTCTTCTTGGTGCATACAACTGGCTTATTTCATCATTTTGTTCCAGGATCTTTCCAGATATTGAAGTTAGGCTGACTGGTCTATAATTTCCTGGGTCCTCTTTGTTTCCCTTTTTAAAGTTAGGTACTATGTTTTCCCTTCTCCAGCCTTCTGGAACATCACCTATTCTCCAGGAGTGATCACAGATACTTGCTAACAGTTCCAAGATTGCTTCAGCTAGCTCCTTAAGTATCCTAGGGTGAATTTCATCAGGACCTGCTGACTTGAACGCATCTAATTTATCTAAGTATTCTCTAATCTGGTCTTTCCCTGTTTTGGCTTGCATTTCTCCCCCCTTGCTGTCAATATTAATTGAGTATCTGGTCATAATTAACCTTTTAGTGAAGATTGAAGCCAAAAGCCATGGGAAGACATAGCCAGAATAGGGATGGATACTGAATGCCCCTAAAGGTGATCCTCTACATCATACATGTAGGATGGATGATGTGAGGAAGAGCTTGGACGGTCATTGCTTGTGCTGGCAGTGCTCCTGCTACATGTTCTTTGAGTAGATGAAGGATTTCAGTCTCCAGGGCTGTTAGCCTGTCATCTTTCACAACGAAGAGATTTACGCCCTGGCATTTACTTGCACTCTCGTACTAGTAAAGAGAAAGGCAGAGGGATAAATAGGAACTTGAGGAAGAAAAGTTTTGTTCCTAAGCTTTACAGAAATTTGAGGCATAGATCTTCCATTGTTAGAAGAACCTGGTGAAAAAGTAGAGAGTAGCCAGACTCCTGGGTAAACCCCATTGATTAGTGAGAAAATCTTTCTCTTTGTTTGGCACACTTCCACAGCTGAGATTAGCAGAGGCACTTGAGTAGGAACTGCCTCAGTATAAATGAGAGGAGGCTGGCTGGCAGGATGTTCTCTGTCAGAGGTCCTTGATTTTGTAACTCACTCCCCCTGCGTGGTCTACTTTCCGGGCATACTGCAAACACAATCTTTCCCATTTTCTTAGTGCTATATTTGTGGATGGTAGCAAGAGTTTGCAGGAGCAAGTCTTTGAGGAGGATGGAATATATAGAGATCCTTCATGTAGACTCTTGACTGAATTGTGTTCTTAGAAGTGTGTGTACATCTGCTCTGGATTTCAGTGGGAATTGCATACAACTTCATGAGAGTAGAATTTAGTCCTAACTGGTCTAATCTTAATTTGATGAGTGGGGCTTTAGTGGCATAACCCTCAGTAGCATTACTGGAAGCTATGTATATATAGATCTAGATAGATGGATAGGTTTTGATGTCGTTATCTATTTATCTATGAACATTAAGGTTACAAACAACATTACAAAAGAACATTAAGGTTGCAAAGAACATTAAGGTTACAAGGGCAAGCACTGAAAAATTAGGCTAAACCAATATTAAGACTGGCTTCTTAAGTGTATGCATTGTGACACAGTCTTTAAATATATGATCACATATTAATTTTTCCTCAGAATTCCTGCATCATTCAGGGGAAGTCATCTATTTCTGTGTAGTAAAACAGAATTTAGGAATCTAGAACCCCCTGCTCTACACCTTCATGGTAAATTGAAGACGTTTTGGAACCTTACTAATATGATATGTAACTGTTGCAAAGCAGTAGGGGCATCTGGGAGTTCAAAGTGCAGACAGTGAATTCCTGATCATAACTAGCTAGGAAACTGGCAGTTGGGAAGGTGAGTAAAGGAATAACTTTACAGGGCTGGACAGGACTCGTGGAGATTATTGACTACTCTATCTCTTTAAAAGTTGATACTGTTTTACATCATGCAAGTCTGAAACCTGGTGGTATAAAATGTAACTGGTACAACTGATCATTATTCACTATTTACAGTTATTAAGCCAGCACTATATTGTGTGATTCAGCAAAAGAATGAGAATGGCACATCCACTAGTATTACCTCTGCCTGAAACTAAATTTGTTTCAGTAATTGTAATATCTGCCATTATAGCAGCATTGTACAATGAAAGAGAAAAGTAAGCACTGATTACATGACAGTTTTTGTTGTGCTTTTTCAGAGTGCAAATTCACCTGCACCAGTGGTAAATGCTTGTATCTTGGTTCGCTGATTTGTAACCAACAGAACGACTGTGGGGATAACAGCGATGAGGAGAACTGTCTACTTGTAACAGAGCATCCACCTCCAGGCATCTTCAGCTGTAAGTACTTAATTTACCCTTTGCGTATGTCTATTGTGCACACTGTCACTTCAGAATTTACTTTTATGGTTGACAGTTTGGTTTACAGTATGTTTTGGGAAGGTGCTGGATGAAATGAGAATTAAAGGTTGTTTTTCTTCACCAACAGTTAATTTGTAATTTGCTTTCTCTAAGCAATAGCTTCCTTCATTCAGGAAGTTTCTAACTCTGGAAAGTGATGGTATCTTTTTTTTGGTCCTGCAGCTATTCACATGACGGTGAGCTCTTATGGGACATACAAGGTTATTGCTAGTTGAGAAAGTTTGTTTCGAAAATATACAATCTGCATTCATTTATTTTACCACATTCCTAGAAAAAATAAATGTTATGTCAATTTCCAGAGCTTAATTTGGTTGCATGTAGAAATTGTGGTTTCTGCAATAGTTGTCCCTGTTAAATAAGTTTATTTTTATTCTAAAAGCAGCGCTTGCTTTCTGACAGGATTGAGTCTATGTGCTTGTTTGTGCATCTGTGTAAAATATTTTAATTTCCTATTCTTTGAAATATAATATTCTCTTTGCACAGAATGATAGAAGTTCATTGGCATCTGTGTATATTTCACATTGACCGGTGTACACTAAGATGTGGTCTTAATGCTTTTTCATATTTTGGCATTGAAAATTGTTTGGTTGTAAATCTGTTGTGCATACAGAGCCATTCCATTTTCAACACGCATTACAGAAAGCTTCCTATACCCCAGTGGAATGGGGCAGCTAGCACATTTTCTTAATGGTTTGGTCCTATTATACAGTACTGGTTAAGCCATTTCAACTCAGATTGAGAGGTTTGATTTTTCAATCATTTTCAATCATTTTATTAAACAAACAGCTCTTTCCACATGCCAGATTCTAATAACCATGTACAGACTGCAGTGGCCGGTGGAAATCAGATGGTTATATGTGCTACTTGGTATGCTTCTGCAAATCAAAGTGTTGGAGTGTTTAAAATTACATGTCATAACTTGGACAAGTATTAGGGTTGCCAGGAGTCTGGTTTTCGACCAGAACACCTGGTTGAAAAGGGGCATTGGCTGCCGTCGGCACTGCCGACCGGGCTATTAAAAGTTCCGTCAGCAGTACTGCAGGGGCTAAGGCAGGCTAGTCCCTACCTGTCCTGGCACTGCGCGGCACCCCGGAAGCGGCCAGCAGGTCTGGCTCCCAGGTGGGGGTGCCACAGGGCTCCGCGCATTGCCCCCACCCCAAGAACCAGCTCCTCACTCCCATTGGCTGGGAACTGTGGCCGAAATGCTTTGGTACATGGTATGCAAGATGCCACTACTCTTTCTGAGCCATACTGCTGCAGTTGTAATCATCCTTGCTCTACATGGCATGGAGGAGCTGGCAGGCTCCATGAAGGCTCCATGACTCTGGAATTTGCTGCCTCCTTGATCTCTCAGATCCAGGATCTGTTAACTTTCTGGTCATACTTTAAGGCCTGTTTCTTTTCTTCCTCCAGGCATTTGGAGGAAGGTGGTTTGTAAGAGGGAGCATTTCATTCATTGCTAGGGGTGTCGTGAAGGGGGTTAACTGTTTATTTACCTATAGTGGAATGGACAGTGCATTTTTTCTTATACTGCATATTATGAGGTTGTCAATTTTAATTGTTGTAAGGACTCCTAGAGTTCAGGGTGGGAGCCTGTTAATAGAGAAGCACCTGTTTTAAATAAAAAGAATAAGTAAATAAAATATATGGGGAAATAATAGTCTCAATGGTGAACCAAGGAGAAAAAGATAAAAGCCAACAGTCAAAATAGTATTTATAAACTACTTGCTCAAACTAATTGGGATTGGTGGTATTTGTCATCTACTGGCCATTACGTATGTTCTTATATGATTCAAATTAGTACCAGTGGTGTTATGTAACAGAAGATTATTCTGAATAAGGCAATAGATCTAGTAGTCTGTTAGCTTTCCAGCTTAGGAAACTAGCTTCTAAAATAGTTGTTAAATTGAAGTCCCCAAATTCTAAAGAGATGACATTTTGAATTAAGGGAGTTTTTGCATGTTTTCGCACAGTGTTTTTAATAGGAACCCCTACCAGATGTTGTGTGGGCTTGAAATAACCCAACAGCTAATATTTCTAGTGGCCCCCATATCAGTGACTGAATGGTAATAAAAGTAACACCACTGCTCACCAGAGGTGTTTTCAAACAGAGATTTATACCATTGGTATCACTATGGCACCTGGATCTTTTGGTTGATATGCACTACCTTCCAGAGAATACACAGGAAATATCACTGAATATGCAAATATGCTGGAAATCTCTGTCTTGGTCTAAAAGTTCCAGCAGGATTGACCTCCTCTTTTTCTCTTGGAGTCACTTTGTCTTTTGGTGGTGTCACCTGGCACTAAAAAGTGCTAATGACTTCCCACTGCTATATTGTATTTAAATGTGACCCTTCGCTTTTTGTTCTGACTTTCTTTCTTTACAAACTATGTATATCTGACCTCACAATAATGCTAAATTAACACAGCTATGAAGGTTCTGCTTGAATTTGTTTAAACACTCTGTACCTTGATGGGGGAGGGATAGCTCAGTGGTTTGAGCATTGGCTTGCTAAATGCAGGGTTGAGAGTTCAATCCTTGAGGGGGCCATTTAGGGATCTGGGACAAAAATGGGAGATTGGTCCTGCTTTGAGCAGGGGGTTGGACTAGATGACCTCCTGAGGTCCCTTCCAACCCTAATAATCTATGAATCTAGCTATAATCCATGTTAGGATGTGCATTCCTTGGCTACTAGTGAATTTCTCATTCACCTGCTTGTCAATAGCCAAGCACTGAACGCAGTGTTTTTGCTTATTGCTTGATCTAGTGAAGTTATGTGAAAAGTGATAGAATGATTCTTTTGTGGAGTCTGTGATGCCTGGACTCAGTGATGGCAGAAAAGATTACTGCATTGTGCCTAAACATTTGTAATGGCATAGATCTGCTACCACAACCTGATGCCGTTGTGAACTCTACTGATTTGGTCTTTCCAGATACTGTTACTGACCTTTTTTTCATGGCCACCCATAATACTGAGAATAAATGAGTGCAAAATGGCAAAGACAGTGCTTTTCAGAACAAGGATCCAAGGAAAATTAAACATGACAGTACTAACCAGGACATTCACGACAGCATATAGGGACCGCAGCTGCAGTCCCTGTATCTGGTCAGACACAGGCTTTCCTGTGAAGGACATCCTATCTGGTGTGTGGGAAATGTTTTTTACTTAGCATGTCTAATTACCAATCATTATTATTATTAGCTATTTTTGTGGTTTGAAACTGCCCAATCCCAAAATTATTGTTGTTCCCTGCATTGCAAGTAACTTTAAGAGCAAAGGATTTAAAACTCATTAAATTTTATTTTACTCTTTTAACTAAAAGTCTTAGTTTTTGGATGAATCATCCACGTTTGCTTTACTCTGTATTAAAAGCCAAATTTTGTCCTTTATCTGCAGTTCCAAGATTTTTTTACCCTTCTGTCTGTTACAGCCTTATGCCCAGCAAACAGTTACCTACTTAACGTTGCATGAGTCGTCCCATTTCAATGGGACAACTCACATATGAAGAGTTAAGCAAATATGTAAGTGTTTGCAGGATTGTGGTCTGATCACTTTTCCTCTGCTGATTTACCGGAAGAGTCTGTCTCCCTCTTGAGGGATTTGCCCCTGTATAGCTGTGAGAGACTGTAAGCCAATTAGGTCATATGTATACTAGAAAAAAATGTGTGTTTGGCTAACACGAGTTAAAATCCTAGTGCAGACAAGAAAAGTTGTAGTATTAATGCATGTTAGTTGGGGCAGGTAAATTCTAAGCAGCAAACATATTAAAACTACACCTTGCCTTGTCTACACTAGGGTTTTAACGTGTGTTAAAATCCACTTTTTCTCCTAGTTAAAACTAGTGTGGTGCATGACTGTCCAACTAGCCTCCTAGAAAGCAGCCTCTGTCAACTTGAGGCAGCACAATTTATCATTTGTATTATTACTCACAGTAGTAGTACTTATTTATTACTCTGGTAATAGAGCACTTATCACATAGCAGCTATGTGCCTATTTAGAGGGCTAGCATACAATAATTACAGAAAACTGTGATAGGAAGAAAATGAAACCAAAGCTCCACTAAACTTGCATTGGATAAGAATGCAAATTCAGATTTTTCACCATTGCAGTCTTGGGCTCAGTAACGACTTGACATGCCTTGCAAAATTACTGTACGCTTCCTTGTGTGAGACCTGTAAAATCAGGACTGTCTGAGGAATTTAACAACATGCCTGTTTCTACCAGGGCACAGTTCATTTGTCATAGTTTTTTCCAGTGTTTGTGCAGCAAGTGATCCCCCTACCTTAGCCTGCCCGGGCTGCTAGGAAGCAATTAGATTTTGAAAGTGGCATAAGGAATGGAAAGGTTAAGGCTGCTGTCTCTTTGCAGCACACAGTACTGCAGCCAAGTGTAACTGAGAAGCATTGCATCTTCTAGAGGTGCTCGAAATCTAATTCTTAGTTTGTCTGGTTGACTGTATAGCCTGTTTTCAGTGAAACTGGTTGTGTGAAGTGTTCTGTGTGTGCACATGGACATGCTATTTAAACAAAATACTGACTTGCGTGAAAACGAGATGAACTATAAAATGAGGCAGAATGCATCTTCTCATGTCACATGAAATTTATGTACACATCAGGTGCATTAATGAGGTTGACACTTCACGACAGTTTGGGGTAGTAATGTCAGGGTTTACTGTGAAATCTTTATTTTCCTTGGTGAGGTAAATAAATATTACTTCCTCACACCTTTTGTGACAGCTGTGTACCTTGTAAAAATCTATAGGGGGGTTGAAGAATGATTCTGCTTTAAAAACAAGAAACTCAAACAAAGGGAAATATTTTGTTTCATAAAAAATAGAGAGTGGTTCAGAAAGGCCTTTTGCAAGGCTCTCTTACTGTTTCACTGAATTTGTGCAGATAAAAACAACCTCTCAGA